GAAGGACCCTACTTTTTCTGCAAAGCCGCTTTCTAGCCAGTTGGTCTTCTAGAATATCCTGTTGTGAGGGGTTACTCTGGGAGGACTTTGCCTTTGATGAACTTAATGAAGTTCCCATCAGTCCATTTTTTCCACCTATGAGTTCTCTCTGAACAGCGGTCCAGCCTTCTAGTGAGTGCATCAGTTGCTTCCCTCAGTTTTCTATCATCTGTGAACTTGCTGAGAGGCATTCTAACTCATCTTTCAGGTTGTTAATAAAGATATTAAGCAGTACTGGCTCTGGGGTCAGCTGTCCTGGCTGTGCCCCCTTCCAGCTCATGGAAGGTTTCAACTATCCTCATAGAGCCTGCATCATTATCTTGCCAGGACAAGGTGTAGAGATACAAATTTTATATGGAAGAAGTAACTTTTCTAGAACAATCAGTCTTAGAAACCAAAAGGGAAAATTCTATTCTGGACTTCATTTTGAGTAGTATGTAGAACTTAGTTCAGAAAGCATTAGAGAGAAAGCTGCTCTGTAATAGTTACCTCAATACAATAAGAAACACAGAATTGTGCATCTTGGAAGGAACCTCTGGAAGCTGTCTTGTCCAACCTGCTGCTCAAAGCAGTGGCAGTCTGGGAAAGTAGCTTAGGATCTTGTCAGGTTTTGACAAAGGATGGAGGAGATGGAGACCAAGGATGGAGATTTCAAAACCTTCCTGGTATGACCAGCCTAATAAGCAATCTCCTTTTATATCTAATTGGAATTTGAGGTATTCTAACTTGTGTCCATGGGCTTTCATATCAGCCACTGTGTTCCTCTGGGAAAAGTCAAACTCCATCTTTTTGACACCCTTGTGTTAGGTAGGCAGCAATGAAAGCTTCCCTTCTCCTAGGCCTGAATAAATCAAGGTCTTTCACTCTGTTGTCATAAATCATGTACCCAACCCCTGACCATCATGTTACACCTTTGCTAGACTTAATCTAGTAGGTCAGTGTCTTTCTTGGAGGAGCCCAAAACTAGACACAGCCATACATGCAGTCTCAGAAGTGCTGAACAGAATCAATTTTGTAAACCAACTGACTCTTGCCTATACAGCTAGTATGTTTTTAGTCTTTGCCACAAAGGCATGTCACTACCATGTTCAACTTGTTGCTCAGAAGGACCCTACTTTTTCTGCAAAGCCGCTTTCTAGCCAGTTGGTCTTCTAGAATATCCTGTTGTGAGGGGTTACTCTGGGAGGACTTTGCCTTTGATGAACTTAATGAAGTTCCCATCAGTCCATTTTTTCCACCTATGAGTTCTCTCTGAACAGCGGTCCAGCCTTCTAGTGAGTGCATCAGTTGCTTCCCTCAGTTTTCTATCATCTGTGAACTTGCTGAGAGGCATTCTAACTCATCTTTCAGGTTGTTAATAAAGATATTAAGCAGTACTGGCTCTGGGGTCAGCTGTCCTGGCTGTGCCCCCTTCCAGCTTCTTGTGCACCTGGCAGAACAGGGGAAGCTGAAACATCCTTGACCAGTGTAAGCACTGCTCAGCAACAACTAAAACATCAGCTTGTTATCAACTTTCTTGTCATCCTAAATCCAAAACAGAAGCACTATGCCAGCTACTAGGAAGAAAATTAACTCTATCCAAGCTGAAGACAGGACATCTCAACTATTTGGCAATAAGGAGATGGGAGACCATCTCAAATGCCTTGCCAGATTCAAAGTATCCACCACTGCTTGCTCTCCCTTTATTCTTACAGCCTGTCATCTCCTTACAGAGGCGATCTGGTTGGTAAAGCAAAATTTTTCCTTGGTAAATCCATGCTAGCTGTTTGCAATCACCTTCTTGTCCATTAAGTGTCTGGACGTGATTTCCAGAATGATTTGCTCTGTAACTTTTCTAGGAAAAGAGATGAGGCATGTATTTCCCCACATCTCATCCTTTATGAAGATGGGTTCATGTGATGTTTGCCTTTTTTTTTTTTAAGATTAGATTTAATAATAGCAGAAGAGAGTGGACCAAATCAGTTGGCCTGGGGATATTCATTTTCCAGAAAGGGAACCACATAAAAGTGAATCAAGTAGTCCAAAAAACCTCTAACTCCCCAAACACTAGAACAAGCGGTATAGAAAGCCTATAAACAGTTGGAGAGTGTTAAGAAAGGTACTGTAGTGTGCTACAATTTAAAAAATTAAACACACCTGCCTCCAAATAGTCTTAAAAAGCTTTCTGTAAAGACTCAGTGGGGAAGTTTTTGTGGTTCTCACAGAGAGAAAATCAGCTTTTAAAACTTAACCTTGCATTGGTGAGAACAGGTAGGCTAATAAAGAATGGCAGGACAATTGCAAGTAGAAAGTTGAGAAGGCTAAAAAAGCTCTTGAAGAGTGGTTTGCAAAGGTGCTTAGGCTGTGATAGTAAAATTTTGCTTAAATAAAGTGAAAAAGAAGCCAGTTAGGAAATTTCTAGGTTTGCTTAATGATAACAGTGTAAAAGGATACGATACACTGAGTCTACAAGGCCATAAAAGAAAAGCTCGATGAATCTTTGCATCAGTCGTTCCTACTGAAGATGCTAAGAAGATGCCAACAACTCATGTATTCTTTGTAGCAGATACATCAAAGGTGTTAGGTATGTTTGAAGTAACTGTACAGCAATTATGAGGTCAAGTAGGTGAGTTATTTGTTAATATCTGGTGCTAATATCTTCACACCCCGAGGGGTGTGAAGAAACTGAAGGATGAAATTACTGAACTGTAACATCACTGTAAACAGCCACTGTGCTAGTTGACTGGCAGGTTGCCACTTTAACTCCCATCTACAAAACAGGCTCCAGAGGGAGCTGCAGACCAGTGAGCCTGACTGCTTCCATACTTGGGAAGATGGGGGCCTGTCTTTAGGAAAGGAGGGGTAGCGGGGGGAAGAAAAACACAAAAAAACGAAAGGGAGAGGGAGAGAGATCACTGAGCACAGATCAACTCAGTTTTCTTGGGGGGGAAGAATCACTGTGGCTCCTGTAAAGGGAAATCCTGCTTCATTACCCTGCTGGAATTGCAGAAAGGTGATAGTAACCATGTGGGTAAAATCTGATCTGTATTTTCCAATTGCCTTTGACAGGGGTCCACATGAAAGGTTATAAAGAAATTCCATTCCTGTGGGATTGGAGGAAAGGTCCTTCTAGCAACAGAGAACCAGTTAAAGCAGAGGAAACAAAGGGTAGTGCTTATGTGCCACTTTCAGGATGGAAAATTGGAATCAGACTGCAGAAGCTGTTAGGCTTGTGCTCTTTCCTCAGTAGCATCTGCTTTTTCCTCTGCTGGAGACAGAGCACTGGTGATGGATGGACCCAGCACTGGGCTAACCCAGTTGGGCATTTGTAGCATTCATGCAAGTCAGTTATTGACTTGTATGGGTTGGATCTTGTATTACACATGTTAATTAATTTCTTGTCTAGGTTTACCTGAAATATTTCCAGCTTAGATATATCATAACTTCAGTTGGAAACTATTTCACAGACAAATGAATTTATTTGGAAGTGATTCAGATATTCTGACTATAAACCTACCCCTTTACTAACTTCATATCATTTATTTACTTCTGCATGTCTTTCATCACCTTAAAAAAAATACATAGAAGTTAACTCCTTTTAAAAATTTTGTACAACTGTCCTTGTATGGTTGTCACTTAGTGTGTGGGGAGGCAGTATGTATGAATATGTGCATAAATGTGTGTTCATTCAAATACTGTTTTTGAAGTTGAAAAATAACATATTCAGAAGATAGAGGTTCAAGCAGGAAGGATTCTAAAATATCCTTAATTCACTCCCTTGTATTCATGTAATGTTGAATACAGTCTTTAATTACGTAAACAGAGAATGTTTTCTCAAGGAAGCGTTTTGCTATTCAGTGCAAAAAGTGAACACGCTATGAGGAGTTAAGACATTGTGACAGTGAAGGACACTGTAGTCTGTGTTATAGAAATTGGTGGTGACTGAGGTAAGGAGAATGAAAGAATAGCAAAGAAGGTCTGCCAGTGAAGGCAGCTGAGTGATCCTGAAAATTGCGGGAGCCTTAACGTGTCATGCAAAGCAAGTTACTTTTACTTCACATTTCTCATTTTGTTATACTTCATGTGAGACTGTGAGATGTGGATTGCAACACTTAGAGTTACAGCTGAGTCTGAGATGCAGTAAACGTATAATGTGCTTTAAAATACTGTGTATACTGAAAGACTATTTTCTTTAAAGCCTTCCCTTAAGTTAGCAGATATTTTGGCCTGATTTTCTTTGTGCCTTATCTCAGAGGGATTTTATAAAGTGGGGATCTTATTGCTAAAATAATGCACAACTATATAATTAAAGATTGTGTCAGAAAACACAAGTATACACAATTAATGTATTTAATTCTAGCATTTCCCTATTTGACTTTGAAACTTTAGCATTGGTATCCTGGCAACTTTATTTGCACGTAATTTTAATTAAAAAAAAAAACCAGTAATTCAGGTATTTTGTTGTACAGACCTTAGCTGGTTGGTATTACAGAATAAACTATAGTAGTAATATAGTAGTATAGTAGTAGATCAGAGCTGGAAGAGGGGAGGAGAGATTTTGCTAATAAGTTTCTCAAATAGTCACTGGAAAAAGAGGAATGGTAAGATATATCTGCACAAGGTTGGCTGGTGGTTTCCCCTGAGACTGAGTACTTATTCCCCTCTTACCAGGATTCCAGACTTCCTACCAGTCTCCTTTTTGTCTCAGGCATTTCCTTACCTAAGGAGGACTCACTGAAACTTCTTATTGTATGTTACAGCCAACACTATATCTGAATTTTGTAAATTCGGGTTTAAAAATTTTATTCAGCTGTTGTACTCTATATGTTTGAAGTATGCCGAGTGTCATCAAATTAGAACTAACTCCTGGGTATTGACCACTTTTTCCCCAGTAATATATTGAAATGGTTTGGGCTTAATTTTGTATGTGGTTTTAGTGTGTGATTGTTCTGTGGTTCTTAATTTTTTATTTCATTTTGTAGACTGAATCTTGAAGAAGAACTGGATCAGATGAAAGTACACCAGTCTGTGGGTAAGTTTACAATACAGTTATTTATCTATGTTTACAACAAAAAGGGAAGGTATAGTATTTTATATGTGTAGATGTAGTAGATTAGAAATACTAATTTTAGGGTTATTTTCTCTCCAAAGGTTAATTTCTTTTTCTTGAATGTGTATTTTGTTAGCATAAGCATAAGGCCATACATTCTTATTTCAAAGTATGTTTACCCTTAAGTTCTCCAGATGCCTATTAAATCAGTGACAATTTTTAGATACAGATATTAGCTAATATATGTTTGCAACTTATGTGTATATACTACTGTCCTGGCTTTGGCTGCGATAGAGTTAATTTTCTTCCTAGTGGCTTGCATAGTGCTGTGTTCTGGATTCAGTACTAGAAGAATGTTGGTAACACACTGATGTTTTCAATTGTTGCTGAGCAAGGCTTATACCAGTCAAGGACTTTTTCAGCTTCCCCTGCTCTGCCAGGTGCACAAGAAGCTGGGAGGGGGCACAGCCAGGACAGCTGACCCCAACTGGCTATTCCAGATCATATGACATCATGCTCGTGGGACGTTAGTTGGGGGGAGAGGGATCACTGCTTGGGACAGGCTGGGCACTGGTCAGCAGTTGGTGAGCAATTGCATTGTACATCACTTGTAGTGATATTCTAGTAATAGAATAGTAGTAATATTCTATTACTACTTTTATTGCTATTGTTATTCTTTTCTTTTATTAAGCTGTCTTTATCTCAACCCATGGGTTTTACTTTTATTTTCCAACTCTCTCCCCATCCCACTGAGGGAAGGGGGGAGTGAGTGAGCGGCTGTGTGGCGTTCAGCTGCCTGCCGGGTTACACCACACAACTACATCTAAAATGAGTTAACTATTTTACGTTTAAAATAACTGTGTATATGTATATAAATAGGTATGTTTAAAATCTAAAACATATTTATATGTTTATGAAGCTTTCTCCAGAATCTGAAATGTTTTTTGCAGTATTGAAATACAGAAATTCCATGCTCATTCAGACGTCTTTTTTAATACTAGTCTCACAAAGTATGTGAATTGGAAAGTAAATCAAAATGGTGGAACTCTTATAAGAATTGATTATGAGTACCTTCTTTTATATCTTTACGATAGTTGATGGTTCTGTGAAGATGGGTCTTTGTCAGTTGGATAGGTAATATATTACCATTGCCTCTCCATTACTCCTCTGATTCTTTGTATTATTCACTGTTCCTGAATGGTCTGGGAGAAGTAGTCAAGAGTGCATAGTTACAGTCCAGCTGGGTGTCACATCTGTGGTAAATTCTTTATGCACAGCATTGTGCAAAGGAAGGGAGTAGGAGACTTAGAGCTAAGTGCTCTGCATGTTCGTAGCAATAAAGCCTTACCGTTCTTTATCCCAATTTTCTGCTGTTGGCTGGTTTTTTTGTGATAATGTTAGCCACTTGAATGTAAAAATATTTTTTTCTTCCTTTATTTCAAATTTGTTTCATATTATCTATAAAACTAAGTGGAAATATTCAGCTGCCTAAGACTGAAAGTTGCTGTTTTCTTTCGTGTTACTTCTTATGTGTTACTTTCATAGCCCCAGATAGAACTGAAGGGAACTAGTGAAGATTTCAAATACTGTCTTTAAAAATCACTTCTTTGTTTTTGCCAATTTAGTCAGTCTTTGCACAGAGAGAAGTGGAAAGGCAACCAGCAGTGAGAAGGAGTTGAGGGCCTGCTGAGCAATAACCATGCATTTCCAAAAACAGTCAGATCCCTGAAACTGCCAGTTCTTGATGTTTAGTGCTTTAACAATTAGTCTTTCGTTCCTTCTTTTTTCATTGTCTTTTCAGATTAAAACATATCCTCTTTTAAAAGTGTGTGGGTGGATACACACTTCTAGTTTGGTTAGTGGTATGATGATTAATTGTTGTAATATTGGGACTGAGAAAAAGGGTCAAACTACTAGTGAAGTGTGTTAGGCAAATTTTATTTACCTTTTGCAGCATTTGTTGTTATAGGTATCATTTAGATAAACGTGAAATTTTTGGTAAGATTCAAAATCAAATTAAGCAACACTTTTTATTAGTACATGACTGAGCTGATGCCAGCCATTTCCAAACTTTTACCAGTTGAAGTATAAAAAAACAGTTGCTTACCTAGTCTATAAAAAGTAATTTCCTTATTGTTGTCCTTGCAAATCCTAGGGTATTGCAGTGTGGTAGACACTTTTATCAATTGATTGACATTTTCTAGAAGAATACACCATAACAGCTGAATCTTGATGTCCATCTTTGGGCATAAATGAGTGTACGTGAACAATCCTTGGTCATGCACTAAGAAAATTTGTACACTCTCTGCCCTAAAATGAGTATTAAATGCCTTCCTCTTCCCAAATAAAAGTAAAACCCCAGGTCTGTTATCTGTAATTTGCTTAGAGTCCAAAGTTGATATGGTCTAAATACACTTTTTTCACAGTCTTAGTAAATATGTTTTCTTTTCTAAAAGGAAACCTGACATGAATTTACTCAGCTTATCAATGTTGTTGGAATTCACTTTCACCTCAGCAGGTACCTGTTTCCATCAGGCATTCTAACATCAAAGGATAAATTCTAAAAACAGGTGGCTGAGCTTCTCTATTAAAAAAGATAGGCGCTATCCTTTTGCTTGATTAGATATCGGTTGTGTTTGTCAGGAGGAAGTACTGGATAGCTTTATTGCTCTGCTGTATCATTTTTCAAACCCTTCTGGTCGAAGATGAAGGAGGTCAGAGGAAAAGGAAACTCTGCTCCTGCCATCCCCAATTTCTTTCCATCTGATTCAGTTGTCCAAGGTGTCTCATTCACCACTGCCTATTATTTTCCAGTAGTCATTAAATCCAAATTCACTATTCATGCTATTCGTGTCTTTATTTGTGTATGAATGTAGAGAATGTGTTGGCAGGTACTCATGCCGTTTCTACCAAAAGCAGGAAAGTGGGTCCATCTAATCCTAATAAATAAAAACAGGAAGTGCCTTATTAAAAGAAGGTAAACTGTTGCCCCCCTGTTTCTTCAAGAAGGCAGTTTGAAGGCTTCTTTCATTATGAGAATTCTTCTGAATCTACTGTGTCCCCAGCTCTTGTGTGAGAATGGCATTTCCCTTCTTCTGGTCTTCACAGTGTTTTTTCCCACTGGCTCTTTCTGACTTGGCACATCTTTGGGAGCATGAGTGGCTACCACGGGAGTCGGTAAATTGTGGCTTTCTGCACCACGGCACCTCCTATCTGTCAGGGGAATCCTTCACCTGGTGCACAGTGGAGGCAAAAACCTCATTTATTTGGTGGTTCATGTAGGTGCTATGAGTGACTGATACACAGCTCTTTTCTTTTTTTTTTTTTTTTTTTTTTTTTTTTAAATGAATAGTTTTTTCTCTGTGTTAGAAGGCTTTCTGCAAATACTAATAGTGAACTGTAGTATCATAGTTCAAGTACTGTTTTGGCAGCAGTGTTGAACTAACTCATTATCAGATTTTGTGACTATTAATTAGGAATTAAGTGTTACGTTCTAAAGCTGACAGTTAACTATGTCTTCTCAGTAGGATGTAAGTATACTTCCGTAAGACCACGGTAATTTGATGACTGAAGATAGTGGGGTTTATGACTTGTGGATCTATTCCTTGAGGGACAATTTGGGGTTTTTTTTAATGTAGGAGTATGATGGGTAGGTGTATGTCTTGCTGAGTAGACTGATATGATGAATCTTTCTGCTGTCATAGACAGACAGACAGTTATAGGCAATGCTGTTTCATTGCTTCCCTAACTAATTCCTGTGAACAATTACATAACAATTAGAAGGGAGGAGGGGGCTGAATAGGCCATTTATTTTCTGCTCGATAGCAAGGATTATGCATCAGTGACCTTTGGCTTTTCTTTAATTCATGCTGCTTGTGGCTTCTGTGATAATACTGAACATGCATAGTCTTTTCTATGTATTTGGCAGCAGTATTCTTTATTCTCTGCATATAATATGTTTATTTATAGATAGAGTTTTAAATTGTATTTTAATATATCCACATAATAAACATAACACCTTGTGTGCTTTGATCAGTTTCTTTGACTATGGGAAATCATTTTTCTTTTCAGTAGAGTACAGTAAATGCTGATATAAAAGCTACAGCAAACATTCAAATGAGTGAATATTTAGAAAAAGATGAAAAGCATGTTCATATTATCTTTGTGTGTTACTTAAAGAATGTTGTAAATGTATGCAGTACCACTGTGCTGGGGGACTGTAGTCTGAAATAACATGGGAACTAACATATTAATATCAAGGTAAAGGTACATATTCCCCAGATGCATAGTTTTACCTTTTTCAGCTTTTATTATCTTTAGAATAGTGTTCCATTTATTTCATGAATACAGAAGTATTAATTGGCCATGACATGTTCCAAAGACAAAAGAAAGGTCTAATTCACTCTAACAAACTTGTTAGTCACTGTTTATGTCAAGAGGATTGTGAATCTACAGAGAGTAACACTGTTTTCTTCTACACTTGCTTTGTTTATAAATCAAAAGTTTTTAAGTGACCTGCAGTGTCTGCTTGTAGTTCGAAACGATAAACCTCTACCACAGATATTTATCCCTTAGGATAATTTGAGGGGAAGAAGGTCAAGAAAAGAAATGTGAATATTGGGGTGTTTTTACAGTGTTGGGATTTTTTGTTCTTTAACATAATATTTAATATTCTAAGAAAAAGTCCTTCCAAGGTGTGTAATTGCTCATTTCTGTGAGCAGTGGGCAATCTGTGAATGCTAAGCTATTGGTTCAAATCTAAACAGAATGTATTTTGTTTCTGAACTACAGTACGTATTAGTACTTCTAAACTTTTTCTTAGCATTCTTCTTTACGAACAGATCTAATTTTTAACTTGTCTTTTTTTGTGGGATTTTTAGTATCTAAAGTGCATAGCTGTCTAAGAGAGTGATGCTTAGAGTCATGTTCACTCTCATTAGTTGATTCAATTTCTAATTGTTATGAATTCACAGTATTACAATGGAATGATTTGTGTGATTTATCTGGTGAAGTACATGATCTTTCACTTAACAAAAAAGGGGTTTTAAAGTTTTCATCCATCCTAATTCTGTTACTGTTTGCTTTGTTCACCAATCACTCTGATCCTCCTAGCAGGGGACAAGACCTAGAGAACAGAACTGGTAGTGACTGTGTAGATAAAAAGGCAATGAATTCTGCTTTTAAGGCATAGAGGGAATAGTCTATAAAAGAATAAAAATCGGAATGAAAGTACAGCGTCTTTAACCTGCAGATCTATTGTACCTTTGAAAAGTTTGTACTCTGAAAAAAAACATACTGTGATGCTACGAAGATTCATAATTATGTGACAGAACACTTTGAAAAGAGGTCACTCTTTAGAAACTGACCAAAGGGCTTGCCAAGAAAATAGACCACATTATAAATAATTGCAAAAATAAAGAATGCATTTCCTTAAAATGTTTGGTATTGTTTTAGTGAAATACTAATTGTCACAATGTATTTTATTTATTCTCTGATAGAGTTGTATTATTTTTTTCTGATAGAGCCACTTCTTAAACTTAGTGAATATGATGAAATCAAGAATAGTACTCCAAAAAGGAATAAGAAAGGAGTTTCATATCAGACGTTACAGAAGGTAAGATACCAACCCCAGAAAACAGATCTAAATTTTAAGATAAGTATCATTTATATATAGGTCATTACTCATGAATTTAGGCCATGATTTTTCCTTCCTAATTCAAAAATATGGATTTCCAAAGTTGTGTCACAAATTAATTCCAGTGAACTTGCTTTTAATGTATCATGTGAGATAAACATATCAGAAAATTAAAAGTACATTTAGAGGTATAATGTTAAAAACTAGCAAATTCTCTGAATTGGAAGCAACATATGCTTAGCTTTTTACCACTTTTAAGTTCAGAAACCTTCATTTCTTTTGCTGAGTGTTTAACTTCACATGATTTCAGGTGTTAATCTCTATAGAGCTCTTGTTACAGAATAAAATTGATACATAGTGATAAATCCACTTTTTGTTGTATTTAAATTCTAGCACAACATTGCGTATGCAAATATTTTTTACATATATGGGTTTATCACTCTTTTCACAAGGTAGTACCGTATGCATTTAGTGTTCTTTGGCTTAGCAAACATGATGAGTATTTAATCTTTACTGCTCAACATTCTACATGTTTTACCTTATACAGTAGCAAGATGTTCTTAACTAGTTGCTATTTGTATTGATATTTGTAATATACACAAGTAGTTTAGTATGTTAACAGGTGTTCACTTAAGAGGGCTCACTTGTATTTTACCATATGTTTTGTTTGCTGCAAAGAAAAGACATCCTTCAAACAGTATCATGCCTTTTGTTTGTCATTTTGCAAAACAATATTTGTTTAATTACTTATAAATCTTTAAAAGCATGCTTAAATTGAATAAACACAAATCTGTAACTTTGAATGTCAGTTTGGGTATGTCTATTTATTTTTTATTTGTGAATTAACTTGTAGGAAGTATGGTAATTTACAGCAGATGATGTGATTGCATATACTTGTAACACTTGCCATATGGTCAGGCAATGAAGGCTGTCATCTCGTTATTACTGAATGACAAACATCATGTTAAAATAATAACACACAGAATAGAAAGTGCTCACATCCATTTATCTTAAGGTAGAGTGAGTAATTGAAATAATATGAATGCTACCATCTGAAATGTCACACAGTTTATGCTTGCTTATCATCTATATTTCAGAACTATAATTTTGTTTGCCAGGTACTACATAATTTTCATCTCTATGGATATACAGAGTTATGAAGGTACCTTAGGGATAGGTGTAGAAGCTATTCATTGTTTGTTTCCTTCCAGCTGTCATACATGACTTTAAGTGCTAGTGTGTGCAAAAGGTTGCTATAAAGAACTGAGAAAATAATAGCAGAATCTCAGTTTAGGAAGGTGGTTGAAGAAAGGTACTGGTCTAAATCCTTATCATTGGGGAGGAAAGTATAAACTATGATTTTAATCATAAACCTTGGTTTCACTGAAGCGTTTGGAAAAATCCCTTTTATTTCTAATTTCATCCAATAATTTTATGTAGCCATAAGGTAATCTTTCTTCATTGTGGGAGTGCTATGAATTCCCATAAAGGAAGTTACCAATAGATAGGTATGCATATTAAAAGTTTGTTATCAAACTCATAAATTCAATATCCAGTCCACAAATGTATATGAAGTTTGAGTGGCTTTTGCCCTAGCTTACGCTGTACATTAAGACCTTCCATATTTCTGAATCAAATTTATAGTACCCTCTTTATAAATCTTTCCATAAGTTTTAAAATAATTTAAATGCATTGGAAAAACGTCCTTGAAAAACATATAGCATTTACTGAGAAATACTATGGTTTCAATATATTCAATGTCAAAGCAAGTTTTGACATTATGTATTGCTACAAAATGATGAAATTTGTACAGTATTTTACAAGGTGAGTAGCTGAAGCTGGCCATGTGCATTTTACTATAGGTCCTTAAAAAATAGTCTTTTCTACCCATGTCCATAAAAATCTAGAGCACCTGGCATTTACCCTAGTGAAAGAGTGGGGATGGAGCTTGTACAAAATAAAATTATTTCTTCAAAATGACTAAGTGGTTACTGAGCACAGAACTCACTCTGATGCCCTTTGCAAGCTTCTGGAAAAAATCTCACAGGCCAGATGTTCATTTCAGTATCTGCTAAAATTAAAATTGCCCCTTGTTTCTGGAAATTTTGGGGTTTGGTAGTAACTTTAAGAAAATATTCCAGAAGAACATTGAAAATCAGTTTATTGTTAATGGCATTGAATACGCCTAAACCTCAAAGGACTTTACAAATGAAGCATATGCATTCTATATAGGTAGAATATGCTCCTTCAAACTATATACGAGAAGCTTGTAAAGTGGTTTCATTGGAATAGGATAGATTTTCCCTTTCTGTGAATAGACAATACATTTCAGCCTTCATATTCTTTAGGTGCTGAGCTTCTGATATCTCTTGCTATGATTTGTTTGGGGTTTTTTGGAAGACCAAATTAATATTTAGTTTGTGTATTTACAACACTTGAAAGGACTTGTTGATTTAGATAGCTAGTGCAAAATTGTCTGTATTTCAAAATAGTTTTCCTTCTGGAAATGTTTTTTAAATTCAATTAGTATGTATAACCAAATCAGTAATGAGCTCAAGATGCATCAGGAAGGTTCATTAGCATACTTAAACTTCTGTGTCACTTTGCCTGGAATTTTAACTTCTTTTACCATCTGCCCTTTGTTCAACAGCTGTATTATTGCAGCTAAAATGTTTTCATCTGCACTGTGTTAGAATTATTTTTAAATTAAGGACTATAGATTGCTTTTGTCCTTGTGCTTAATGTAATATTATTGTCATATAATAAATACATAGGGTTTTTTCTACTGGATGAACTGAAATAATATGAATAATAAAATTACTTTTTGTTAGGTACAACAACTAGAAAGAAGATTCAAAGCTATTGAAGGGGAATTAAAGAAACAGAAAGAAGTAAATAAAGATCTATTGAAGGAGAAAAATTATTTGAATGCATCTTTAAAGGTGCAAAAGGAAGATGCAGACACCAGAGAAAGAGAGCTGGAAACACTACTTAAGAGGATTTGTGAAATAAAAAAAGGCAAAGCAGAACTTCAGTTAGTGATTGATGAGCAGGAAAAAGAAGCAGCGTCTTTGAAGAGGCAAGTGGCAGAAGCTAACAGGTTGAGAAATGAAAATGAAGATCTGCTGAGTCAAGTGCAGGAGCTGAAGTGTTTGCTGGATGAAGCCAAAGCAGTGGCAACCTCTGGGCAATGTAATTGCAAGATAACAGGCACCAAGGTTAAATTAAAAACAGCCAAGAAAAAGAGCTCTTTGGGACATCATGGAGCGTTTCTCAAACAGTCCATCAAGGTTATGAGTAATGTATTTGAGAACTTCAGTAAGGACGGCTGGGAGGATGTGAGTGAAAGCAGGTACGGCTCTCATTAACTTAGCCCTGTAGAGGGGACACTGTGCATATGTAAAGCACTAGCAAATGGAGATTGAATTTCAACTACTGTTGATTTGGTATTCAAAAAAAATACTGTCAGATCCTTTGAAATATCTTGGGAGGTCTTGTTCTGAGCTTATTGACTGAAATTTGCATGCAAAATTAGCCACAACTGCATGAGTATTTGAATAGGTGCCAGGAAACCCAAAAGAAGGCAATGCTTGATTTCTTCCAGTGATGCTATTTTCGTGCAGTCATGAGGCTTGAAATTGACAGTTTGGCAGGTTGATTTAATTTGCTGGCCCTTTGCATATTCACCACTGACAGCTAAGGATTCCCAGGCAAGCCTACTAAGTCGGTTTAGTTATCTTGTGACATGCCGACCCGGGAGGAGAAACATTTTTTCCCCTTAATTTAGTTAGATAAATTTTGAATGACCCATTTCAGCTTGCTAGCAGATGTCTACAAGCTGTTTAACATCCTTTAAATTAAGAACCATCCACACTAATTATTTCATGTATGTTTTATGCACAGTCATTGTACTAACTTTAATTGAATGATGGTTAAAAATCAGTTCTTTAAAGGTAATTGTTACTGCATGGAGTCCAGTCATGAGTCACAAGGCCCTAAGAAAATTGCACTGGCAAGCTTCATAAACGTTTAGAATTTTTGCTTCTGCTTCTATTTGTCCCCACATGCTTGAGGATGCAGCAGTAAGCCACTATGTAAATGGGTATCGCACCTTGTCTTTCAGTACTTTCTCCTAAGAGACGTGAAAAGAAATTTCTCAAGCCTGTATTTACCCGAAATATAGAAAAGGTGGCAAAAGAGTAAAGAAAATGGAATCGTCATGTTGTCCCTATACGTTATATGGAGCAAATCAACAGTCAGATGAAGCTATTCTGCTGCTTCTCCCTATGCAAAATAGGGGGCTCCTGAACACAGTATCTTGAGAGGGAAAACAAATTAAGAACCAAGTAATTTGTCAGTTGCTATCATTAATGTAAACCTCATTTGTTTTTCTGTTTAATTTAATATTGCAGACTGATTTTACAGAAAACATACGTGTCTTTCTGTTGCTTTTTATTTAATTTACTATGTTTTCCTTTTTAAGAACAAAATAGAGCAAACAAATTGTCATTGCAATTTGAGTTTGAAGTGAAGTGGAAAGTAATCGTATGGCTTCAGTTGTCGTGGCTAGCCCTAAACACTACTTTCAATAACTGCAAGTATCGGGTTAGGAAGTTCTTGTCATACAATAGTGAACATTTCTGAAGGTGATGTTTCAAGGTGTCATTTTCAGCAAGTTAGGGAAATATCTTCATTTAGTTCTCTCTTCTGCTTATTAATAAATAATGTGCTTTATCACTAGCAGCTGTCTCTGAGTTTCTAGATTCAAGCCTTCCACTTTCTAAGTAGAACATTCCTTGAAAGCATTCATGTGAGGGAAATGTGAATGTAGAAATATGGTACGTTAGAAAAAGATACGTTAGAAATATCTCTGTGCTACTGCAGCACCTTCAAACTACGACATTGATTTCTGTTCTTATCAGTCACTAAGACATACCAATGTGTCAGGATAGATTTTGGCAAGTATAAACATGTTTCTGTATGAACTCTTCAATTTGAGGCCTTTTCTCTGGTTAAGTAGCCTTCATCTCTAAACCACTAATTTAGTGACTGTTTTAATGTGAAGTCAGTTGTGTATTTTTAAATGTCTTAGTTTAAAAAGTAACAAACCAAAATTACCTTCTGTCGAGGGATTCCTTCACAAATCTGTTTGCACAATTGGTGATGAATAGCCACTGATAGTATAGAAAATGGTACATCCAAGACTTCATGTTATCATGAATATCAGAAAACAAATTATAATCTGGGGAAAGTGAAAAAATGGAAATTAAGAGCACACTGAGTGCAAGTTTAAGGAAAAATTTGAAGTTGAATGAAAGTCCAGTTTCTCTGCATGGCAGGCAATTCCAATAGAAAAACCACCAAGCTTTACAGAATTTAAAAGCACTCCAAAGGGGTGCTAGACAGAGATTTCACTGAAGTGTGATTTCTGAGTTTGTCTCAGTCAACACTACAAATAAAGTTTAATTGAAACAAAATGTTACTGAGTGAAGTCTTGTGGATTTGTTTTGTTATCAAATGAAGGAAAGTAGAAATGTAGTGTATCCGCGTGAGTCACTCACAGACTGGAAGTATTATCAGGTAGTTTTTCATATATGTTACCTTTGTAGGCTGTAACAAAAGCTGTCTTTTAAGAAGCAGTTAAAGTCTCGGACCTCTGTGCATTGTAGAGTGAGATTTCATTTGACAGAGTAGAACTTGATAAGACATTTTCAGAGTTTTCTTCTTTATCATATTTGTAAACATCTGTCAAATAAGCCAACATAGTACTGTTTGGATTTTATATTAGTTTCTCTTCTTTCTTGCATGTGTTATTTTCGATTGGAACTTTTAATGTTTAGATTTGTTTTGTTTTGTTTTCCTGAACGTGCTGTTTCAGTGACTGTGAAGTACCAACTTCTCAAAGTTTGGAAACCGTGATTATGAAGACAGTGCAAAACATTGATCCTCTGCCAGAGAGAAGTAACCAACAGGGAAAAAAGCAAATACAAGACAGTCAAAAGCCCTGCAACAGTGTTCATTTAGAAGGCAAAAAAAAGCAGTATAATATAAAGGTATATAATAGAACTTCTTTTGTTCTCCTGTGCAGAGTGTTGAAGTTTAATAGTTAGTGCTATCACTGCTATTCCCCTCTTAATTAATCTGACTCTCCATGTAAACTGAAAAGAAAATCTGCTTCCAGATATTCAATTGGTAGTTTAATTATAATTTAGAACATTTTCTGAAAAATTAATCTGCAAAATTGTTTGGAAGGGGTGCCAGGAGTGCAAGAGCTGATTAAAAAATGTAAAGCTTCTGTAAACTAGTCCTGCTGTCTCACAGCCCAGACAAAGAGTGCTGCAGACATTCCATTAAACTCTCTCTCAATCAGCAAAGTCATACAGAACAGAGTGACCTAACCCATAACAAGGAAACAGCAACACCCCCTCCTCCCCTCTAGCAAAATGGGTGTGCTGACTAATCAGGCATGAACACGTCTCCGTTTGTTCAGTGTGCACAGAAAGAGTTGTCTCCATCTTAGTAAGATGCTTTTGGCTCTATCTCTGTCCAGGAGATTCTATCTAGAGAAAAGTGTGCTTTTAGCTTCTTCTTAGGCCATTTACATTCATTGTCTGGGATTTGAACCCCTTGTCTCATTCCTAACATCTATATGCTGTTTTCTCACAGAAGAAGGCCAGCTGGTCGTTTCCCAGGTCTTTAGAGGCTTCATACAATCTGTAACAGATGATTCATTTTTGGACTTTTGAACAGTGTCTAATACTTTTTCCCTCCTGTGTTTGCCCAAATAAATCACTTCATGGAATTTAAAATACAAGCAGGTATTGTTGTTTCTTAGTTCAGGAAACAGAATACTGAAACACTGAACAACTTGCTGCTGTTAGAAAACTAGTTTGAAATTCTGTTATGAATGGTGATACAATAAAGAGTTTGAAAACAGATTATATTATCTAAGTCTCTAAATTTTAAAACAAATGCAAACTCTCTGGTCTTGTTATGTATTCTTGACTGTGTATTTCTATCAAGAGATCTATTTTTCTTGCAGAAAAGCTGAAAAAAGGGGAAAAACTTCTGCAAACATTTGTTGGTATTGAATACACAGTATGAGCAGGTACACGTGATATATGTGAAAATCTGACAGTGTGCTACTCCTGTTATCTCCTGCTGCTCCTAAGTGAGGATATACAAGGCAGGGAATCCAGGAGCCTCTGGTCTCTCAGCCAGTACCTCTCCTGTTTACCTATATTGCATTTTTTCTCTGTTCCTACTGGAAAAGACAAACAGATATATTCTGATACACATATGTAACGGACTAGTGGACTTGGAGCATACACAGGCAGCATCCCAAGAGCTCACAGCAGGTAAATATGCTTCAGCATAAGTCCCCTGTTGCAGGAAAAGCACCTGAAAATATGGTTTGTGTACAGAAGATAGCATTGCAAAAGGTTTAGTGTTGACAATTGGGAACACCAGTTTTAACAGAAATCTTAAATCCCTCCTGAGGATTTAAGGACACTCCAGCTGGGTCATGGTAGTCTCATACAAAGAGGCTAGAGAAATCTCTGAAGTCCTGAGCTATGCCTGGGGTTGGAGATGAGATAGTTTATGACACAAGGACTTTCTCAGTTTTGTCCCACATGGTATTAATATATAATACCCTGTACAGTGTCAGGAGAATTATTGGCACTCTCTTACAACTCATATATTTATCAGAGCTATGGCCTAGAGTGGAGATCTCCACCTTTTTGCTGCAGGCGTGCTGCTGCTGATGTTTGCTCATCATCTGCTGAGAGCTCAGTCCTCTGTAACATATACTCACCATTTCAGACTAGCATCGGTCATCCAAGAACATGTCTTCAGTGTTTGTAGGATTCTGTGGTCGTACTGTTAGGGAGTTAGTACTGGTTTCCATAGTTGTCTTTGAGACATGGAATAAAATAAGAGACTGTTCAAAGGAGACAGACCTACAAGAGCTTGACCTTTGTTTTCCTTTGCTTTGGTTTTAGGCTGAAAAGTTGGGACTTACATTTCTTTTCTTTTTTCCTAGTATATCCTACTTCCCTGTCCTTCAAATTGTATTGTGATTGTACAAATCTAGAATTCATGGCTAAGCTATCCTACAATGTCAGTAATTTGTTTAGAGCAGTTAATAGATAATCTGTTGCTGTTTACTCCTTTAGATTTGATGAACAGCTATTTTAGTTACAAGTATTTCCAGAAATATGTTGCATTATATCACATAGAAAGTGCAAACTGAAGATTTTGGATAAATGTTGCAGAATTCCAGAACAAGAATGTTTCAAATTACGCTGAGCATTTAAGAGCCAGGGAAATAGAACTTTGATTTTGGAGTAAGCCATGCCACTTTCATTTTGCATGTTGCAAGCAGCATTCTTCTTCAGCCTCTGCTTCTGTCTTTGAACTCTTGAAATAGCTGGTTTTCAAATCAGATATTTAAAAGGCATGCAGCTGACTTTTGTTACACCCTGTATAAACACAGAGAATTGTATTTGCATGTTCATATATTTGCATGCCTTTTCCAGTTGCAGCTCAGTGTCTAATCTGATTTTTGGAACTAATAAGACCACTATTCCTTTTTATTTTCATTTAAATATCTTGAAAAACACGATATTGCAGGCTTTCAAGTAATATCATCTTTTTTCCCTACGAGTAAATTAATATCTTATCTAAAACAATAATGTAGGCATTAACAGATACTTCATATTTCTCTGGGATTCTTTGGAAGGGGTTATGATTTACCTATAACAGTTCATTATTTCTTCTGCATTTGATGAGAAAGACAAAAATTTGTATTCTTTGCTGGCTGATGTTGAAAGACTGATTTTCAAATTAAAATTAATTATATTTTTGTGTATTATGTGAAGTAATTGTTGTTGTTTCAATTCAAACTGGAAAACTTAGGAGTATTGTGGTTGGTGTGCCATAATGAGGAGTTGCTAGCTTTATGCTTCTGTTTTTCATTTAGGGGCATTCACAGAATAAAGACCTAGAAAACTTACTTTCCAAGAGGAGGAAGATGTGCTGTCTTAGAACATCTTATCCATCAAATCTAAGCAAAGGTAGGAATATTATATATTTTTGGCAACTTCACAAGTAAGATTGACAAATCATTCCTGCCTGATATTCTAAAACCTCTTCTACATTACACAAACATATGCTGTTGCAGCATTTGCTTGTTTAAATTTACATGAGTGTATTTTCAAAGATTCAGCTCATTATTTTAAAGTGAAAATGTTGTGTAAAAAGTGACTGCCAAACAGCATCTTTTGCACTGTTAAAATATACTCTATTCTTACTAAGTCCCACCTATTGAATCTACTGACTAAAATAAGGCTTTCCACTACCTTTTGTTCTTGTTTGCCCATTGTAGTCAGCGCAGCCAATGAAACAAAATTAAGTGTATTTTGGCTTAGACCTTAAAAAAATCTGTTAACAAGACACTGAAGCCTTTATTTCCAGTAATACTGATCAGAAACTTGAGCCACATTGAACTTCCAAGTCCTTGTTGAGTTTGCAGTGTTGGCACTCCAGAAAAAGAACAACCTCTAGAGCACTTACAGGTTAACCGAATTAATTTACAAGTTTGGCTACTGAGAAATATTTTAGAGGCAATGTTTTGAAGGGGCAAATAAAAGTCAGAAATAATCTTATTTATGATGACATGTCAGTTTAGTAACGTGCTGTTTTATGTTTAGTGAACAGGACAAAAAGGAGAAATATCATTGTCCAGAAACCAGGCTACTCTGTTATTCTACTGCAGGAAAGAATTAAGTCACTGCAGCAGCAGATAGCTGCTTTACAGAATGAAAAAAAGACAGCAGTGTCTTCTGTGAAGGGATTTAAAGAAACCAATGAAAAACTAACAACTCAGCTACATTTGGCTGATCAGAGACTTCAAACTAGTAAACTGACCATAGAGGTAAAGTACTTTTCATTATGGTGTCTTACAATGTTCAGCTTAATTCTGTTGTAATTCCATGAAATTTTGATAACATTGATTTCTGCCTCTTAATTTTTTATGATCAAAAATTATGAAATGTTATATATTAGCATGCTTTATATGAGAGTCTGAGCCAGTTACTACGTACAAATACTATTGTATCAACCCAATTAATTAATCCTTCTGAAATAGGAGTGGTCTTCATGCTGACATTTTACCTGTATTCAGATGGCTGAAGGAAGTTTCATTTTTAGCCTGTGGTCTGAGAACTTTCCTGAGGATCTGGTCAGTCCACATGAACAAGCACCCGTTCCCCTGTGAAGAACAGGCACTTTTGGAGAAACAAACTGTCTCCATACACTGCAAGAGTGAGGTGCTTAAGGCAGCTGGAGTTTTCTTCCGAAGGGGGCTCAGACCAGTTCCATATCTATTTCATCTCATCTCTCTCTGTCAAGGTGGAAGGCTAGAGAACAAGATTTATGAAAATAGGGACTAGTAAACTATTTGGTTAAGAGCCCCAAAGATGCCAGCTTTCTTCTCTACTTCAGTCTTCATTCCTACTTAATCCTTTCCCAAACTATTACTCTTTTCTGGTTTTCCCCATTCTCATTTATATATATGTATTTTGTGTTAATCTATATGCAGCTCCTCAGCTGGAATTCTTTTCTGTTCATACTGTAGTGATTGGCCTGCCCTTTATAGAGCTGAATCAACAAACACTTTTGCAGTAATTGTCTCCTGTTGGTCACACACACATCCTGCTTCCAGAATTATAGTGCTACAACAGATGGACTTGCTGGAAGGAGGCAGACATTAAAAAAGAAATCAAATCCCCTCCCCCTCAAACTTCTCTGCATTTCAGTCTTTGCACAGAAGGCAGAAGCAGTATCAGGAGCAGCACTTTTCACTTTCTTAGGGCTGGGGAACTGCTAATTTCTATAGGAGGGAAAACCTAATTTCTGTTACTCATTTTGCATAACTATATATATGTAATGAATTGTTCAAAAAGAGTTTCGAAGGTCATTGGAACCAATGGAGATCTGCCTATCTCACAAACAGTATCATAATGTAAAGTTTCATGAACAGTATAAACTTCATAGAGAGTTATATGTGTAATTTAGGTAAAATATTCTGCTTGCTCAGGCATCTTCATGATTTGCCTTCCTAGAAGACTACACCTTAGGTGTCTATAGGAGAGCAATGTGAGAAATAAAATAAAAAAGGCCATTATCAGGAAACTGTTTAAAAAAAAAAAAGCAGCAAAATTTGTGTCAAGATAAGGGCTGCTGTAATGTAACAGACTGACTAAAAGTGAAATAGTATGATCTTAAAACCAAAACAGTTTTATTTCACTCAGTTCTTCTGGAAAGTTTAAAAAAAAAGAAACTAAAAAATGGTCATTGGTCTATTTAAAGGGTGATGCATTCTAAGCAAAATAAATGGTGTTGCAGGTACTCAAGGAAAAATCTTTATTAGGCATGCACATTTTTTTCCTTCTCAGCAACCAATTCAAATTCCCTTTCTTACAACTAATTACTCTTCAGGTGCCATACTAGTGCTACCAAGTGGGAAATTTAAAGCAGAGGCTTGGGCTACTTGCCAAGTGAAAATTAAGGAGGTAAAGAACCTACACAATCACTGCAGGGTACATGCATGTTTTAGACAGAGAACCGTGATTCAGACAGATCAAATGGTTGTAAAACGCATTTGTATGGGGGTTTTTCTGTGTTTTTTATAAGAAATACTATCTAAAAGTGAAGTTTTAAGATACTGCAAGGGAAACAACATTTTAATTTTTTTTTTGTTTTTTACTAGCAAGGACACTTGTCATTGTTTCTTCTCAATGCTTCTGTTACTTTAGATTTTAGAATTTTCTTGCACAGGTAGAAGGTAAATCCCACACAAACCATGAAAAATATAAGAATGAGATAATATCTGGATTTAGGGAGACTCTTAAACACTTCAAGAGTGTCAAAATGACTAATATCCAAAACCAAGCTTCCATATGTAATCATAAAGTTCTGAGTAATCTTGTAGTAACAGTCAACTTGTGGTGCTGGGCTAAGATAAGTATTGCATTCCAGCAACTGTAAACATTAACATCATGGCTTGCATGAGATGCCATATTGCCTGAATTTAGCTAAGAAACTAAATCCATTAGCAGACAAGGGCAGATGTTTGTGCAGTCAGTCCTTCATTATAATCCCTAAGGAATCTAGTGCTAGAAGATCGACTCTGGATTTAAGATTTAAATGTTCCAGATGTTCATTCTGAGACAGATTTTACAGTTCATACTATCTAAGGACTGTCTGACATCTGTTGATTTTCAGAATGTATGTACATGTATGGTTTTGTGTATTTTTCTTGAAGATCCACACAGACATGTATGTATCTGTCTGTCTGGTTGTAGGAGTTCAGCATGCTGGATTCAAGTTCTTTTTTTTGTTTGTCCTTATAAACTTTTTGCAGTAATGTAGATTTCTTACTTTGTTTTTCTTCTACAGAAGCAATTATTTGCATATTTCTGCAAAAATGACTGTAAAGTGACAGCAAATGTGAGAATCAAAGCTTGAATTCTCCAAGGATTTACATCAACACTGAGTTGAGACCGTCTGTACAGAAGTACAGTAGTTACATTTTTCTATCAGTGTATAAAAATCACAGCTGGAACTGGTACTTAATGTAGAAGTAAAGGGATTTAGAATTTCTTGTTTCTTAGAAAAACATCTGAAAAGAATTGTTGGGAAAATCCAGGATAAAATGTTTTCTAACATTTATTCCCCCCTCTACTCATTTCTAAGTGACTGCTTATACAAAGAGTATATTTATTGAAAACAGCACAGCAATTATAATTAGTTTTATGCAGTAGGTGTCATTCTTGTTGCAGAAGTTCAGACAAAATATATTGAATAAGAAATTAAAATCGTAAGCAGGTTAAGTCATTAGTGCTTCTTATTCCTGTCAAGCCCACTCACAGGTCCACTGCTCAAAAATCTTCTGCATTAGTTCTCCACTGTTTCTCAGGTGATGTAACAGGAAGAGCTGCATTTCTTAATTGAATGCCATAGGCATTTGCAAAGTGCCTGTGTAAGTCTTACTTGAGCAGGAAACCTGAATCTTAAAGAATGGGAACAAGTCAACCAGTCAAACACTGACAGATCCTTTGGAGAGGATAATGTAAAGGTTTAAGTGTAGGGTTTTTTAGATGCATTCCGTCAGATATGGAACTATGTTTTTGCTGAATTGGAAAGAAAAGGAGCTAGGATTTTTTTTTTTTCTGACAGCATTTTTAAAATCTCTCCAAACTTTATTTTAGCCATTCAGTTTTCAATTTCCTTTGAATTTGAAACAAACTTTTTCCCCCTGATCTTATACTGTGCTTTTAATTTGCTTGCCAGAAGTTTGTTCTAGTGGATTATCCCAAGTGGATTAATCTAGTGGCTTATCTCAAGCATAGAAAGGTATGAGCATGAAAAGAGGTAAAGCAGAAGAGTAAAGGGCTGGAGAAAGCTTTTTATTCTTTGAAGTTTGTGGCTTTCTCTAAATATTCTTTTAACTGTTTTTTACTGCCCAGTCAGAGAACAGCTTAGAACTCAGAGTTGCATCTGCAAATTCAGCACCACAGCTTCACTCTTCTTATGGTACCCAAATAGGAGTAAACCAGACAATTTAGGATTATTCAATTACACTGAAACAAAGAAGAAACTGGTGATGAATTTAGATGCATTGTAAATTATTGACTTAACTATTGTTTACACAGAAATCTCACTTTGACTCTGGTTTTCATGGAGGGGTTTTTCACTCTTTAAAGATGTATTGTTATTTACATAACAATTTTTGTATGTCTGTGGTTTCCCTAAAGTAAATTCTAGGTTGAAATTATAAACTGAATGTTGCTTGTAATTACCTTGCAGTAAGCTGAAACTGCTTTTGGAACTTCCTCACTTTTGTTCATTACAGCAAATGTGTAATTGTTTTGACAGTTTTGCGGGGCTTTCCACGTAAGTGTTGTCCAGTTAGAAATTCTCATAGACACACCCAATTGTTTTCTCCAAAACCACTTTTCCATGTGTCCTGGTTTTATCTTTTTTACTCTTTCATGGAAATACTTCAGAGCATTTGTGCATATATATTTTTTTTTTTTATGACATTCATAGGAAAGCTTCTGCACTCAGTGTCATCTTTTCTAAATTAAGTGGTGGTGGGGCGGGGAGTTCCCCTCCGGTGGCATGAAAAGATATTTTTCATTATGTACGTCAGATAATACCAATCATACCTACAGAGCATCTGAATGATAACATTTTATAAAAAGTTTTAGAAGAATTAAAATTTGGGAGTCATTAAGTATAAATGGTTGTTTTTCCAGATAACTGTGTAAGAGTTTACTACTACATTAGTAGTATATGCAGGAATTCTGACTTTTATATATGAAAGCAGTGAAAAAAACTCCAAAACAGAGCTGCTGTAGTGTGCTCATGTTTTAATAAATAAAAAATAAACTAACAAGGATTCAGTTTGTTTCTGCTCTGTTCAACAGTGTCCCTTTCCATTCTTACATGGCACACTTAAGTCTGGAACATCTTACTAGTATCCATCTTAAAAAAATATAAAAGCTAAATATACCCTATTTAACACTTTCACAAAACTCAGTGCAAAATAATTTCTGCAACCGTGCACCTTTGGCACAGTGTGTAATGAAACAGTCAACGAATTCAGTGAAGTTGTTTAGGAAAAGTCTGTTCCTGAAAACATCAGGAGAAATGTGATTTCTCCCCGCCTTTCCTTGTTTAAAAGCATACAGATGATCCTTTCCTAACTGCTTTGAATAACAGTAGTCTTGGTTAGGAATTTTCAGGTACTATAATCTTTGGGCACAATATTCAAAAAGAAGTAAAGACAGTTTCTCAAAAATATTTAAGAAATCAAAATAGCAAATTTTCTATTCTGCTTTTTCTTAAAATGCAGCAGAAGTGAAAAAG